GGGTGATGGCCATAAAGCTGCCGCTCCTGCGCCCCCTTAAGACAGGACTCAACTGCAGGCCGAGACCGTTTTATGAGGCACACAAGAAAAAAGAAAAGAAAAGAAAACACATACAAAACTGTTTCAATGTCTGTCGGTATCTGCATGTGTGTGTGTGTGTGTGGACACTGGGAGAAAATTATAGGACACTTTATTTAGCTTTTGAATAGATAAATTCTTTTAGAACACTGACATGGTTTTTGGTTTAAATTAAAGCTCTCTGTGGAAATAGTCCTACTTCTGACACTTAAATGTTTTAAACATTATTGCTAGAGCTTTTAAATGCAGTAAAATCTATAGATGAATTCAAAAAAATATATATTTAAAATTAAAATAAATTTATTTAGAGTCAAAATTTTGTGGCTAAGAGTTAGAAAAAGGATAACAATGATTATATATTTATATATTTTGTTAAAATATAGATATTATTTCTTGTTTTCTCCTGTGTGTGTGTGTTTTGCGATGCTCTCCTTGTTTATCTCGCTTTTGTTTGGCCTCGTTCCGCCAGACTCCAGCCCCTCGTGCCCTTATGACCCCCGCGAACCATTTCGCAAAGAGTGTCTTACTTTACTCGGCTTTTTCGCCGCTTTTCGCTGCTTTCGCCAACTTCCAGGACGATTTTGTGTGCCTGCTTAGTGGTGTGCGCGGCGTCTGTGTGTGCGTCATGTTATGCATTGTGTGTGTGTGCATGTGTATGGGTGAGTATCTGTGTGTGGCGATGCGTATTTCGTGTTTACCATTTCGGGCCGCCATCTTTCGCCGCTGAGCGCCTGTTCCGAAATATTCCCAGTGTGTGGGTGTATCGCACACATACACGAGCCCACGAAGGACTCTGCAAATGTGTGTGTGTATGCGTGTGTGTGTGTTTATGTGAGCAATGTTGCTGGCAACATATCCTATTCTATATTGAAGCAAAAATGTTGCAGAATGAAGAAGTGCTGCCCTGCCAAAGTGTTTTGATAGCGGGGCCCCTAAACCCCAGAGATTTTACTCATACGCCCACATCATCTCGGCAATTTTAAGCGGCTTACAGCGGCGATGATGCCATAGCTGAGTTTTCATTACAAAGCCAAAGGTGAATACATCTCGTACTCCTTGAAGCTGCCACTCCTGCCGCCACTCTAAAAGTATATCCTCCATTCCTGGCAAGTGCACAACTCCCCAACTCAACTTCAAAAGGCAGACGAATTCTATGGCGACTCAAAATGAGTCGCAGGGCAAACACAGATCATATCTTATCGGCAATCATTTTATGAGCAAAATTAATACGCTTCCAGCCAACTCGGCTGGCAAATTTCTAGACGTTTTGTTCGGTTCCCCAGGCAACGGACGGAACGACGTCCCCGTCGACAGGCAACAATATATATATCTTTATATATAATGAGCCTGGGCAGGTGGAGGTGCAGAAGTGGTATCAAAAGATATACACGAATAGATACTTTTACACAAGGGGAAAAATAAGTTAAATATGTAATGAGTAAACAATACTACAATAACACATTTTTAATATATTTTTTTATAGATTACAGAAGTGGTATTTATTATTAATTCATTTATCAGATTGTCCGTCTGACTTTTCTAGTTACTTTTAAAATAATAATGAATACGCTGAGTCAGTGTAACAATATATTTATATCAAAATTCTTTTAATTTGACTATAATTTTGAAGTCTTTCTCTTACAAGTTTCTATTGAAAAAATATTCCGGAAACTTAAGGTATTCAAACTCTGAGCTAAAAAATTCATTTCTATAAATCTCTCCTAATATTTTATGTTTAATATTTAAGCACACCTGAATTATTTAGACTGATTTCCACCTAGTTTAAAGAACATTCCCTCAAGTATTCTCAGCAAATTCAACCCATTTACTCTCCCTGTGTAATTGCTGGCTCACGGGCAACGACATCGTCATGGAAATTCTTCATTAACTCAACTCTCGGGCGTTGAGAGAAAAGAAGTTTATGTTATTAAGAACATCGAGGCAAAGTGTGGGCGTCGAATGATGTTTATGCGGGGGCGTGGCATCTAGGCTGTGTTGAAGTGGCAGCAGCTGTTGTTGTAGTAAAATGTGTGTTTTACTTGACAAGAAAGAGATAACGGTAAATGAATATGCAGCAATTTGCACGCCCACATAATGAGCAGGACGAGGGGCGCAGGAGACTGAGGACTAGGGATTCCGCCGACGGGCAGAGACTGAAATAATAACAGTATAGCAGCAGTGGAAAAGCAACAGCCTCAGCCGCTAAACAAAAGTCGATAAACATAAACCAGGCGCGGTGCCAGCAGACGAGCCCCGATAAGTGTGCTACACACTTTCCACAGGAAACGGAAGCAGGGAGGAAGAGGGATTTACATTTAGAAAAAAATTATATAGATGTCGCCATGGACGCCATTGAAGTTTTTAGTTAACGGAGGGGAATTTAAAGAAGCTCTCAGTAGATTGTTGGAAAATATATAGTATATAGTTAGTATAGGAATCAATGAAAAACAATACAATACGTTATCTAGAATTAGCTTAAAAATAATTGAAAACTTTTTTTAAAAAAGAAAGAAGAACTTAACCTCTTTTTCTCAGGTAAACAAATATTTAAACAAAAATGAAAGCTACATTTCTCACAAGAAATTTGTCTTCAAAATCTTGCTACAATTCTCAGTGCACTTCGGAGTGTGTGAGGCAAAAAGTAAATTAAAACGATTTTAATTACGGTTGCCAAGACGATGAATGAAAATGTCAACGATGCCGGAGCGACAGCAGGTGGGCGTAGCGCCGTCGGAGGGGGGCGTGTCGAAGGAGTCCGTTTTATTAAAAGGAGTGAAAGAGAGCGGAAAAAGCGGAGACAACTCCTAAAAGCCTTTCGCTGTACCGCTTGCTGTGCCAGCAGTGTGTGAATTATCGCACATGTACGACCAGCACACACACACTCCACTGTATCCTGGTGAATAAAAGAGGGATTTTCATTTAGACGCCTCGCTCTCTGTTGTTGTCTTTAGCTACTCGACGAAAGTCACTGCCAAGAGCAACGCCAGCGAACTTAAACAAATAAAAGTGTTTACAGCGTATGGCGAAAAAAGGGGGGGAAAAATAAGAGGGAGCTTCTAAGTTAGACAAACAAGCTCCATTTCTTTTTATGAGCCTCTTTTGTCTCTGGCCGCTTTTCCGGTTTTTCCCCCTCCTCAACCTATGCTTTTTTATACCTTATTAACGCCGGCTCACTCGCTCCGTGAAAATGAAAAGTTTTCGCGGCGGGCGTGAAATTTTTTAACCCACCAAAAACAAAAAAGAAAATAAAAGAGATGAAATCCTGAAAAGCCACCGAAAAAAAAATCAAAAAAAAAGGAAGGAGAGCGTTCGCTGATTAACTTGACACGGCCAAGAGACGCGGCAAGGGAAAATCCTGGTGAAAAGCAGGGGAAACTGGTGAAAAATTCGCGGTTTTCGAATGCAGCTGACAGGCAGCACCTGTCGCCGCTGCGGAAGTGTCGACTGCGAATGCAAAAATGTGAAAATGCGACAGCGGCCAGCAAACCGCCGCCGTCGCCGCCGCTTGACATTTCCTTGGCGACGACGAAGGAGCCTTCTCAGGAAATGTTTTCGGTTTGTGTCCTTGTGTCGCTTCTATGGAGACTGCATTTAAGTGCGCTTTTTATGGCACAGCTTCAAGCTTGATCCGTTGATAGCCAAAAGTTTGTCCAGGGACTTATCTTCATTAATTTCCGCTACACTTTTTTAATGCCGTTTAACTCGGGTTTAACCCCGAAAGTATGCTGCGGTGAGTAATTCGATTTATGAAGGGGAAAGCAGAGCACTTTTCCTGAGGAAAACTTGTGCCGTAAATTAGACAATGGTTTTCTTTGGGGATGTTTCTCTAATTGGAATTTTTGGTAAGGGAAAATTTCAGTGGTTAACATTTTTCAGAAAATTCTTATTGATTTTTGTACCTTTTTTTAAAGACACTTTTTAAACAAGTGTATAGAATTTTATTTACTAATTTAAATCAATTTCTAAAAGTCAGAAAAACTAATTCGAAATACATGGAATTTCACACAGTCTTTGGCTACAGTTACTTTTGTTGATTATAAATTATTTTAAAAGACACTATTCATTGTATAACTTAAAAACAATTAAAGACAGCGCACTTTGATAGCTTCAAATATCTTTAATAGATTTTGGTTAAAGATTCGATTCGTTATTAAGGTTATTCTTAGAATTTATGACCTTTCACAATTAAACTTTTATTATTCATACTCCTCTCCAAATTAACTTCTTATTTTAAGGTTTTGAAAAATGTGTTAAACTCGCAACACTTGTCGGAGATTTCACACCACAGGACGGGGATTATTTTGCATATTTTTATGAGCCACGAATATTGTTCACAAGCGACCTCGCATGCATTTCAACTCCCTGAAGTATTTAAACTTTTGCGCGAAAACTGAAACACTTCACTCCAAACATGTTGACAGCTTAACAGGAAGTCTGCCTCAAGAAGGGAGCAGCGAGGATATGGCCAAAAAAAGTTGATTCCTATAGCAAGGATCCTCAGATCCCTACTTCCCCCTCCGCTGCGCTTTTCCGCTTTCCCGCTTCCCCGCTGATAACTTTAAGCAGAACAGAACAGAACAGGGCCAGAAAGTGTAACAGCTTTCGTGGCAAAACTTTGCAATGCATTTTGATGTGCATCGCAGGGCCAAAGTGCCAAAAGGTGGCGAAGAACGAAAAAGGGGGAGCAGACCCCTGCTGTTTGAATAATTATATAGAGAAGATGAAAGGACGACCAAAGGCAACAGAGCGAAACAAGAGCCTATGCAATCCTTTCACCTCAAGGCCACTGACCTTTTCTTTTTTTTTCGCACAGACACTGTTTAACAAGGACTCAAAGGTCCGTACTTTGATGTTAAAATCAAGCCCCAAAATTGACTCGTGAACAGGATATTCAGGATATGAAAACAATGCAATTTGCTCACCTTTATCTCGAATGTTTATTTTTTTTCTTGTTTTTTGGCGGCAATTTTCGTTATGACCACGACTGGAGTCCTTTTGTTCGCGTGCGTGTTTGTTTTATTGCCACAATAATCCCAAGGAAAACTCGACACCAAGTTTTCGCATAAAATTCAATTACGATTGTGAACTCATAAATTCCAACACTTGGCCGCCTTTTACGATTTCGTCCTTTGATTTCAACGAAAAATGGCAACGGAATCGGTATGAATCCGGGGCGAGGGAAAACTGAGCAACTTTTTTGTCGGCTGACGCGGCTACTTTGTTAACACTGTTATCAGGCCACGACCATGGCAATAAAATTACCCCGTCGCGTCATTAAAAGTTAAGCGTCGTCCTTTTGTGCTAAACTGGCGGATTTGTTAAGTTTTTATGGCTTTCGTCTTCTCTTAGGGATACTCTCGCGTTCGGATACGAATTTTAGGCGCCTTTTTGGTCCAACCTTTGCAGTTGAAAGCGCGCAAGGAACTGTTTATCCTGGCATTGTGTGCTGGCATTTTTGTCCTGCCAACGAAACTTGGTAAACGACCACGAAACTTGGCATCCACAAGGGCGCCTGCGCTGGATTTCCCCCGTTTGGAACTGAATGTTTTGGGTGGCTTCATGGATAAAGCGAGGGGGTTGGCTTCCAGTGGACATGCAACTGGTGGTCGTCCTGCCAATCGTATCAGCAGCAACAAGAGGCAGCAACAACAATCATGTGTGGCAGTTGTCGTGACAACTTAATTTCGATTTTGATGAGAGACCAGCCAAAGGCATCCCTTACGCACTTGATAACATTTTATTTTCTGATCTCTTTGAATCCGAATCCCTTGCATTTTAGTTTGAAATCAGACTCTGATCTAATTATGCCATCGTTTAGCACTGCATACTTTTCAGGGCGACTCGAATATCATCGGGTCGGTGAACATCTGAAAAAGGGAAAAGAGAGAACATTAAGGCAAATCCGCTTACAGGGACACAAGTTCGTAACTAACAGATACGGATGCGGCGGTGAGATGAAGATGATACCCAAGGGCGGCGCCCATTGTTTATGCAAGCGCATTAAGTCGAGGCTCAGCCCTGGGATACGTCCACGACGGTAGAGATTGGCATGCAGATGCACACATATAGATACAGATACAGATACAGATACGGATTTAGATACAGTAGTCGGTCCTGCGGCTCACACCCACAGGCTGTAGTAACATGTTGCGGTTTTGTGAGCTCCAGATTGACCTGACCCTTGCATAAACAAGGCGTACTAACCGCATCTTGGAGGCGGTTCCAGCAGCTGCAACAGTTGAAACCCGAAACGAGCAGTCCTTTAATTATATACACAAACAGAATTAATATTTAAGAAGTATTTTTAGGCGGGAAAATGGATATTTCAACAATTTTGATAAATTCAACTTGATATGTGATTTTATAATGTATGTATAACCTATATTTTAGTCAGAAGCTTGAAATTAAGTGAAGGACTCATATCCGACGCTATAGATCATATATATTATTGATCAGAATCATCAGACGAATTGATCAAGCTATATCCAGCAGAAAAAAAAAATCAAATTTTTTTGAACATTTTTTAGTCAAAATTTTCCATCATTAAAATTGTCAAAAATTTGAATTTTTTTAGAGCTGTAATTGAGTATGCAAATTTGTTAACCTAATAAAAACTAACATAGGACTGCTTTCCGAATTAAAATTAATGCTTTTTTGGCTTAGTTATGCATTTTTTAAATTTTGATTTTCCGAAAAAATTTTCATATAAAAATACAATTATTACGATCATTACAAAAGAGACTTTATAATGTAAAATATTGTATTTCAGTTAAAAATATTCTCTGAAAATAGCTGAAATCCTTTTTATTCTTCAATTTATGAAATATTAATTGCATAATTAACAACATTTAATTTTTTCCTGTGCAATCAAAAGTCATCGAAGCGAGTTGAACTCATTAACGGCACACGAAGGGCAAGTCGTTGTCATGTAATCCAATATCAGCTACCAAATTGGTATCTCGTATCTCATAGATACGCGCCAAAATACGTGCACACGTATAAAAAGGGCTAATAAAAAGGAGAACAAAATATATATAAAAATCCGACTAAAGAAAATTGAGACTCGCGTGGATTTTTCGTGATTTTCCATCCACCGCCATGCAACCTATCTCCTTTTTATTTGCTATCCATTTTATTGTTTATTTAGAGCATTGTTTAGCAGCATATAAACCGTGTCTATATATAGCTATATATATACTGCAGTCAGCGTTGATTTAATGGCTGTAAATTGAAATGGAATACGCGAAATGGAAAAAATGTTGGCCCAGGTGAAATCCGTTTGCTAAAATTTATATATGTATATGTAAAAAACAAAAAATACTTATTGAAAAAGTTCTCGCAAAAGAATTTAATAGAATAAAAGTTGGCAAAATGGATTTAGCATTTCATGGTTTTAGGTAGAAAATCCCCAAAGCTTAGCTCATCAGTTTTCTAGGTTTTCCCATCATTTGATTATCCTTTTGACAATCCTTTTTCCATATTTCTTCTCTTTTTTGTAACAAGGAAAGCAATGGAAAATTTAAAGGAAACAAAAATGGGAAACATCTGGTTAGAAGCAATATTCCCTAAATTTATCTATCATCTCATATCCTTAAAGGATGCCCCTCTCCCATCGCTATGGTTTTGCCATTTTCTGTTTATCTTTCTTGTATCTTTTCCTCGTTTTTGCTTACATTACAAGCGGAAATTTGATTTGTTTCTGATAAATGCCATTTATTTTACTTGTTTAAGTCGAATGCCGGGAAGCGAGATCCTAACTTGCCGTGAAATTCAATTGCCAAATTGATTCAGCTTTTGCGCTTCCATCGGAAAGCTTCCCCCCGCCTGCTTCGCCGCTTGAGCCACAGATAATTGAATGATTTGAATTTTTATATTGAATTTGGCTTTATACATAGCTGAGCAGCACACGCCCATTTTTCGGTTAACAGCGGACTTTCATCATATTTGGCAGTTGTGTGAAGTCCTTTTTTATTCAGCGTGGGATTTTTCTATTAAAATGGAAATTGTAGGCGAATTGGAAAATTGCTTATCAATTGGCGGCGGGGCATATGCTTCAAGGATCAAACGGAGGCTAAAATTGATTTTTCCCAACGCCCCCATAGATATTTTTTGTTAGGCTCCCCCCGCTGATATTTATGCTGCAATTAAGCATTAAATTAAGTTTTTCACTCCGCCACGAACTTAATTGAGTTGTATGTGTGAATTTCATTCCCATGCAAGTCCGGGGGTGAAGAGGTCTCCCCTTCGTTTGGAATTTAATTTAATCCAGTGAAGCGTTACGCCGCCAGAAAATGCATAGCGAATTTTTTTCGAGAAACGTTCTTTTAATTGCTTGTTCAAGGGAATTAAAGACAACTGCCCGCCCGCATGATGATGTAACCTTATGGAAACAGAACCCTCCTTCATCTGCTGCTACTTTCAATGATCTATCTGCCAAGGCAGACACAATGTCTGAGAGCGAACTCTACTGTTATCGAATGGAAACTAATGGCAAGGTGCACTCGAGAACCTTTTGTGGTTGAACTAAAGAACAAAGCGCAACTATTACTTATTGGTTCGGGGAAGGCAACTGGAACGGAGCGGCAGAAGGAAAACCCTCTCAAGTGCCACCTTTGTTTCGCAATCGAGTTTCGATTCAAAAGCAATACAAACACGCACTGCGGGTGCCACTTCAGCCAATACAAAATGGTAATGGAAATCGAAATGGGAATGAAAATGGGAACCGCTTGAGAAACTGCGTCACCATAAATTGTAATTACCCGGAATTCACGCGACCCGGAGTCTAGGAAGAATAACACCGAAAATAAAGTGTCAAGGGGCGTATGCAGCGACACTTTTCGAGCTCCTCCTCTCTAGCTCAGCGCCCGCTGGCATCAGGTATTACCGCCTGCTGGTTGAGGGTCTTGCGATGTCACTAGTGATGGGTCAATGACAAGCGATAGTTTTTTTTTTACATATATAATCTATAAGGATAAAGTCAGTTAATCAGCGATACAAGACAGCTAAAGGATTATTATAGCAAGCACTTCATAATGGATTACTTGGGAGAATGTCAGAGAAAAGAGTATTTATGGGAAACCTTTACTTCTTTCAGTAAATTTGAATAGGTAACCTTTTCAGCTTCTAAATTCTAAATTCTGCATTTATTCTTAGGCTTATCTAGCTTAGTACTTCACACTCCCATCTCCAAAACCCAAAACACATGTGTCACATGACCTGAAGACGTTTACAAATGAATTAGGCCAGTCCATCGACGGCTGCTTAGAGCGCAGGCGCACAGCTTGAGGTCGTGGCAGAAACATAAAGCGAAAAACTTCATGCCAGACACACTGACGCAAACCACATGCTGACTTTTTCCAATTTTCCACGGTTGCCCCCATACTAAACCCCGAATGTGAAAGAAAATACACCCAGACCGAATGGGAAGAGCATTCCAAATGCAAAACGTGTGGCGATGGCGAAGACCCTTGCACACGTTCGCATGTGTTTGTCAGCTGTCCCAGAAAGAGACTCATCATCAGCTCATATCATCCAAGAAGGGAAACTGCCTTCGAGGAGCGCAACAAATGGTTTAAAATTAATAACAAAATACAGTCGCTGACAGTAATTGAAGTGTGACATACTTTTAATGTGATTACGAGAGTCAAAACTTGCCACGAATACTGATGAGATTACAAAAGCGGAATGATGTGTCAGCGGCGGCAAAAGCTAATTAGTTTTTCCCCCACAAAAAGCCAGCGATGATGGAATTACAATGTGTTGTAAACACAAATATACAACTATTCTTGAATTTAACAAGATCATTTTGTATTAAGTAGGAAGTGCCATGATTAACTCTTGTTGAAAGTCTAAACCTTAATTTCCTTCCCAGAAGAAATGTAAAGTAACGTAAATTTTTCTTTAAAACTATTTCCAAAATGCAATTCCTTAAACAACTAGCTCTCACATCGTAAAATTAAATCGCACCTTTGCCTTGGTTTACCTGGAGGGGAAAACTCTGTTTGGCAAAGGCCATATCAATAATTCGGAACTTGCGGCAAACATAAAAGTCAAGAACTTAATTTCCAGCTGCTGTCATTTTGTAAAAACAATATTCTGTTTTATGACTTTTTCGAGAGTAAAGTGGAAAGTGGAAAGTGGAAAGTAGAGAGGGAGTGAGTGGCATGATCAACTTTTCGATATCCGTGGCTATATCCGGTCTCTTGCACACACAGATGTCGGGTGGCTGCCACTTTGTTGGCTTTGTGTGTAAAGTCGCAGCTTAAAGCAAATAAAATGCGAATGAAAATGTATTTTATGCATGTTGATGCTGTCGTCAGTGCATTGTTTTTCCAAGGACAACAGACACAGACACACTCACACACCGTTTCACCTGCACACACATCACAGGACTCTGGAGGGGGGCACACGTGATGTTTGCCTGCCAACAAAGGAAACAAAAAGCGAAATGCTTCTGCTGTAAACTGCTTAGCTCTCAAGAAAGAGCAACAGTGTCCCCGAAGAGCTCAAGCCCAAGGATTGTATTTGGATTAATTTGTAGAAGGACCTAAGTTAAACAGATCAAGGCATTAGCCAAAATATTTTCTTTCTATTTCCGGTTTCAGGGTATATTCCCTATAGTTAGTATTAGTAATAAGTTTTACTAGAGTTATTTTGAGGGTTTTCTTGGTCATTTCTTAACTATAAACTAAATTTCTACTATAAATACTTATTTTCCTTGAAAGAAAACCATCTCAACCACTGTCTTCAACTCGTAACTGAGGCTTATCAGGTATCTGAAAGATCTATTTGCGGTTATCTTGGTCTTGGTCTTGGGTTTGGTTTGGT